ATATATATATATATATATATATATATATATATATATATATATAGCGAGAAAGAGAGATATATATAGCTATATATATATATATATATATATATATATATATATATATATATATATATTATTGTTTTTTTTTTTTTTTTTTAACCATTTCACTCCAAACTAGGCGGAAGTGTGCAAGTACTGCAGGAGTTTACAGCAATAAAAGAAAAGATTTAGTATAGAGGGGATTAAGAAAAGGAGAATAGATTCAAGAAGATGGCGATTGACGTTGCATTTAAATTTTTGACGATTGTATTTATCAGGAGATCAAAAACTGAATGGAGTTCCACACGCAGGAAGTGCGCGAAAAGAAACTATTGGTGTAGAAATGACGGTTGCATTAACTATTTCAACAGTAAACGGATGGGACCTTGATGCCAATCTAAGTGTACGCTTAAATCCATGTAGACAGGGCAACAGAGATGCGTGATCAAGATCGATTAAATTACAGATCCTTCTTTCGGGTTTTGTCAAGAACCTCGCAATGAACAGCAGGAGCACCAGCCCAGATATGGCAAATGTATTCACTGCACGAACGAACGATAGATTTGTAAATTTATATGATGAATTCTAATGAGAAAAAAAAAATTCTGGTACAGCACAGTGACAGAAAACATTTCTGGGATCTGAAATCGAATACAAATATATAATCTTAAAAATAGAAATGCAATACTCGTTTCAGAACGAAATAATCACGATCCTCCGGAATTTACATTACATTATTCGGAATATCGTCCTCATCTTTGTTGCCATATTTATCTCAACATGTGTCCTAAAGGTCACATGTCCCAGTGGATAACTTAGGCGTTAAAGGCGTTAGTTACATCCTGTGATAGGACCCAAAGGCTGTGAGTTCAATACCTGGTTAAGGTGGTAGAGAACTTGGAGAAGTGAATTAACAGGAGGTAACTGATAACTGACATTCATTAGACATGGCACGTGGAACTAGAACAGTCTACCCCAATGAGCGAAATAAAGGGTTCAGTTCCACATTCTAACAAACTGAAGGAGGCCGGAGCTTACACCGGCCGGAACGTTGTGATAAATATGGCATCAAATATGAGGACAATAGTCTGACCAATGAAAATAGTGTACATAATACCTTATCTCAGAAATATAGCAGTTAATCCGGAATTTAATTTAACAAAGATAGATTACGTGACTCATCTTGGATAAATAGTGGAGTTGTTTCCTGTTGAATTCAGTAGTCTGCCGAATTTAAAGATTCAATTCTTTTCTGTTAATTTATCGGCAATTATCGAGAGAAATGATGGACGCATGTCTTTCCGAAGGTGTGAAGTGAAGAGCCATGATCGGAATTTCAATTTGGCCTCAGAAGCGTTACACTGACCGCATATTATCTTCATATTCCATTTTATCAAGATTTCAAAGAACATGCTTTTCTTTAAAAAAAAGAAAAGAAAAAGGCTTTTAATAACATTAAAATATTCCCTGAGCGAGTTGATAACCGATTTACGATACGAGAATTTTTCACTGAATCTCTGACGATAATACTTTCATGGTAACTTCTCTGACGAGCTACTTTCGCTGGTTCCCAAACTGCAAGAATTTAAACTTGCCACTAGGTCGGTATCTCAGTCCCACCCTTTCACTATCGAAACGGTCAAATGTAACCGTTTCTTCTTCCCCAATAGCTTCATGTCTCACATTTCCCGTGTGTGGAACGCCCTTCCTCTTAATTGCTTCCCTGATGGCTATAATGTTCAATTATTCAAATGCAATGTCAGTCGACATCTTCAGATGCCTAGATCTAATTCCACGTCCTTCTCTTCATCCTTTCCTCTATCAAACCTCTTTACTCTTGCTCCCACTCTCTGTAACCCCTTGCGTGCTAGTGGCACGCCCGCTTTGCTTGGAGTGAAATGCTTTAAAAAAAAATACAACATACTTAGTAATGTTTATCTCCTCTGCGATAGGTTGAAATTGGTACGATGTCCTCAGAAGTTGAAAATATTCCCTGACACGTCGTATTAGGAGGTATGTGAATTTAACGCCTTAAGACAAATTCGATTTCCGGTCTTAACAATGCAATTCTGCCATTTTGAGTTTAATAAAATATCTTCTTTTATTTATTTTGACCATTTAGAACGTGGTCAGTCATAGCTCACTACAATATCCTCCCATTTGTAGCTGTAAACAAATATTCTCTCCTTACTCTCCCATCAATTCCTTATTCTGCCATCCATTTGCACAAGCTTGTTATGTAGGTTACTCACTGTTTGCTTCTCTCTCTTTTTCCTTGAATAATTCATGTGAGTGTCAAATTCTCCAAGCCCATTTTCCTTAGTATATTTGCCAAAATTCCACGTCTTTCATTTCCTTACCAAAACTGTCCCTTTCGCTTCCATGTCTCTTAGAACTTCATCTTTCTGACATTATCCCCGATGGCACTCTTAGCATTCTTCTGTAAAATACATATTTCTGTTACCTCAAGTCTCTCCATGCGTGAGGATTGTCAAGCACTCTCAACCATATACGAGGATTAATATATAGCAATTGAACACATTTTTATTTACTTTCAAGGAAATTTCCATTTTTTTTTTAAATATTTTTTTAGGTTTTGGAAATTATATTTCGCTGTTTCAATGCGTTTTCGGATTCCTGCGTCAAATTCTCTATTATCTTTTAGAAAACATACCATGCTTTATTTTGACGAAGTCACATTTTGAACTGTAGCTCTTGATAATGTGATTTTTGTTTAATTGGTGCTATCCCATGCAAGGCACCAAAGCCACTAAGATACAAAGGGTTACAGGCTGTTAAAGAATTAGAAACAGAAACATTAATAATGAGCGGGAAGAGAAAAGAATAATCACGAAGGACAATAGATAGCAATTAACATTGCATTTAAATTTTTGCAGATTAACGTTGGCTGGAAAGCATGTGGCCGTAAGGGAGTTCTACAAGCGAGAAAAGGAAATTTTAGCATAGAATTTACGGTTAAATTTAGCTAGCTCAAATGTAAATTGATGAGAGCTAGACTCAACTCTAGTACATTGTGCCTTGTTATAATTGATAGTCATTTCTTACCAGATTCCTTTAATATCACGGGCCAGAGTTAAAGCAATTTATATTTCCACACATTCAAATTTAAATAGGTATTCTATTAATAGCAAATATAAAACTTTTGGTGTGGTATTGTATTTGGTACTTAGTAAGATTAAGCCAATCAAGTTACAAAGTGTGTCACCCAGAGAGGATGGAACTCAGTATAACGTCAATGTTCGGGGAAATCTTAATTGCAACAGCAGGATGAAATGTACAAGCTTGTTCAGTACCCAATTTGCATCAGGTATTTCCAAAGAGGAAATGAAATGAAAGCATTTTAGGCATAGTTTGATTTCATATAAGATAATTGTCTATGATTTATCACATAAATCCCGAAGGACAGCCGGTAGACTCGCTGTCAAGTTATTTCCTGTTCATAGAAATTATATAATTATTTTCAGATAATTAGAAAAGGTGAACTACTTTGTAATTATAAGTAAAATTTTATTGCATATAAAATATTTTCCAGCTGAGTATTATCATTATATTATTAGCATTAGTGTATGAAGCAAATGCTAATCGTTTAATTTATTCCTCTTTCAATGTTGTTAAATAAATAGCAGCATTATTATTAAATTGAAAATTATCATTGAAGATGTTTTATTCAAGCTAAAGCAAGTTTATAGTATTGCAATAACTGTAATCGCGCTACGATGTGCTGTCATTAGAAATAGACTAAAACTAATTATAGAAATGGGATTATTATAATATAGATTAAAAGTAGACTAATTCTCTGTAGATCACAAAACGAATCAGTTCCCCTTTACCGTACATATATCTTCACATGATAAACGAATGTGTTTCTTGTTTTAATCCTTCAAGCCAATAATATATTTGACCATGTTAAAAAGAAATCTGGAATACCAGTTATAGAATCCATTTTCAAACAGTTTTCTCTGTGTAGCTTCAATGCATTTCCGAATTCTGCGGTAAGATATTACAGAACAAGAAAAATCTGTATACTCCAAATATTATTTAAGTTATTAGAATTTAGATTTCAAATGAACGTCCTATATTCCTAGTTGCTAAATTCTGGCAAGCTTTTTTGTTCTGTTTCCAGAAAGTTGAGAAAAGGAATGGTTCCAAATTCGGAAATTACTTTGGGCAGGTTCCTGGTAATATATTAAAATTATAAAAGCGTTTAGAGGAATGTAACTTTGATTGTTATCTGGTGAGTATTCTACTGCGCCAAAAGTAAATACAGTTCTGGTTCTGTTCTTCATCAGATTCTGGTTTTATATTATTTACTCTATAAAAGATGAATAGAAAAACAAATGAAGAGTCAAATATGTCATTGTATTCTCCATGAATGTCATCTAGATAACAACATTACAATGACCGCCAAAAGGTTTCGAATTGTTTATCAAAAGGCAATTGACATAGAGAGGATGGAAACGTTCGTTCCAATCCAATCGTTTTCAAAGAAAATCGAACATTTGTTTTGAAGATAGATATTTACTGTATATTAGAAAAAATATTTTATTAAACCCTTTTTTTTTCAAAATGCTGGCCGGTGAAAATTTAGTTCAATTAATTTCCGCTTTCTTATACAGTTATTTATTAGATTTCACATTTAATTATTTCTTATATAAATTCTGAAATATATATTTGAATTAAAAAACAAGACATTACTTGATTGATTGATTCGTTTTTAAAGTTTATCAACCGTTTTTAAAGCCAGAATATATGTTCAGAGACTATGAATTGTTTTTTGTGATAATAGTAGTATAGTGATACAAGTTTTACTAATTAACCCATAGCTGGTGGAGTAAAGATTCATACCGTTCACAATAGTATCGTCCCAGTAGTGAATAACGAACCCAACGCGAATTGGAATTCAGCTCTCAGATTAACAACTTCATGTTATTATCCATTACACCACCTGCAAATCCAAGCTTACAGAACCTGGTATTTCCAAGCGGCCGCCCAGCCTGGTATAGATCAGGCTCGACGTTGCTTAACTTCAGAGATCGTACAAGAACCTGTCTTTTAATGTGATGTGGCCGCTAGCCAATGAATAGGTAATGGTTACAAAAATATATTAAGTGTAGCTTCGCCAAGTAAGATGGTTGGAAATATTTTCTAATAAAATGTGTTTCATTTTCCCAACACGAATAAAAGAATCTTACTTCCCGTTACCCTTAATGTATAACGCATTAGAATCCTTTCTATCGATATTGGAAATTTACGAATACATCGAATTTTGCCCATAGTATATTATCTGTTAAAACGTTAACAATGCAAACTTCCAATAATATAGAACTGGTTATTTTTAATCAAATGCGAAATGTTCGTTATTAAAACGAGTTAACAATCCCCATCTGTTTTTAAAGCAAATTTATTTCTACGATTGATTTAAGTAAGGCTGCAGCTTACAGCCGTGTAGGCATTTACATTAAAAGCTTAGTCCCAAAATGTGAACTACCAATTGGAGTTGTCAAATTCAGACAAGTACAGAAGTTTAAATATCTGGAAATTGTTTTAACAGATGATGGAAAAAGTGACTGGGAAAACCGAACGTTCTCTGGAATAATAAAAGATGCCTTTGAAAAGCTTAATAAAGTATTAAGAAACAGAAACTTTTAGTTAGAAGACGAAGGTGTACTGGAATGCTGCTAAACATCAGTACATGGCAGTAAATGATGGGCAACAGAGATACAATGAGAATAGCGTGGATGGTATATGTAAACAATAATTTCTTCAGAAAAATGGAAGCAAAAGGGTTAGTTATACATAAGATGAAAATGATACTGTTGAAATTTCCAGGACGCATAATAAGAAAAACGGTCGGTAAAATTTGACATGACAGGGCACAATAAAGATACCTGTATAACCAGCTTGTTTAAATATACAGTAGAACAAAATGGGGAGGAATATTAAAAAGACGAATATTGCTTAACGGTACAAAGGATAGTTGTGAAGAGCCATGATCACTAACGTCTTAAAAACAATGTACAAAGAATAATTATTCGCGCTGCTTTTTTTTCCCAAATTATGTAACGTTCAGAAGCAAATATTTAGGGCACATTTTTGTCTACTATATTCAAAGGGAAAATAACTTTTACTTGTGGCCTCTGAAGTGCAGCACAAACCCTTTGAATTATTTATACAAGCCAGTTACCCTTAACGCAAATGAGATCCCGTAATCATTATCTCAACCTTTCTGCTTTCGCCAGATTGCTTGGTTTTAAATAAATTATTGGTTTACTGTCCTTATTTCTAGAACATCCTTGTTTGTATAGAAAATATCGCAAGCCTCTCACTGTTCTATCGCTATTTCCATGGAAAATGTTCAGGCAGACTACATTACTTAGTTTCACCGATTCTAACTTCAAGGCGAATACACTCTATACCACGGACATTTTAGCAAACAGCCCTCATTCCCTTCAAAACTGAATTAGTGAGATGTAAGTTCCATACTAGCACCTTCTTCCCACGAACCGCTCCTTTGTGGGTCCGGCTCTCAGGATGATTCTTCCACAATAACTAGAATCTTAACCTGGTCTACGGTCAACTGTTATCTTCCCCAAATATCGCAATAAACTGTGCTTCTTAGTAAAACTCTACCTTGACTTTTGGGCTTTGAACAAGATGAACATTGTATAATCAAATTAAAACCTCTTGATGAAAATGTCGGTTGACGGATATGATTCATACCTCGAAATCTTGTGATAGAAATCTTGTCTTTGAAGGCTTAAGTGAATAAACTTAATAAATATAAAAATAATTGCAAATAGACTTTCTTTTTTCCTTCCAACGCGATTTTATAATAGAAGAATTCGGTTTATGTTCGCTTTATTCTAAAAGACTGATTATTGATATAGGAGCCAAAAAATAACAGGTATTTCTAGACAAAGTAGTAAAGGAAGGCGAGAAGAAAAGTGTCAATTTTGAGAAGACAAAACATATTGATATATTCGTATATGAACAATATATTGTTATAAGCAAATGGGACAATTCGAGCAACAATTTAGAAAATCAAGCAAATAAATAAATTCTGTGATAGAAATCAGGTAAATACCAGGTTTTCAATGTTAAATACAATTTCAAAGCATGTATAAAATGCAATTAGTAGACTTTATCATAATGGCTTAGCTTCGCGAAATTAATATCAAGAGGGAGGTTGTACACATCGCTTGCAGGCACGTTTGTAACTGCTAAGTTCACTACGGAACAGGCATACATGGTCGCAGCAGTTGCATCTTAAAATCCAGCCTCGGGTCCATGGACTAGCATTTCAATACTTCCTCCTCTGCCTCTTGTCCCTGAGAGTGGCCCTGCAGGTATTTCAAAGAAAGAGACAGCATGGTTTGTGGTGAGATGCCAGGCGTTACGGTTCTCAGCTAGGTTTGACCATTGGCAATGGTTGATGTGACAGGCAAGAAAGGATTTTTTTCATATTTGAATCGCTTCTTTGGTGTCCATCTGCCGCGAGGGCTAATGGAGAGCTCGCTTTTTTAAGCAGGTGATGATTCTTCATACTGGAAACTTGTCCAGCCCAGCGGAGCTGGGATTAGCGGTATGGCCTCAACGCTGGCGATTTTTTTTTTTTTTTTTTTGCCTTTTCAAGGACAGTTTTGGAGTCGAAGTCACTCCAGTCTATGTTAAGTGCTTACGGTCGAATCACGCTGAAACACCGGTTCTCGTTCGATCACCGAAGTTAAGCATCGTAGAGCCAGGTCAGTACTTAGATGGGGGACCGCTTGTGAACACTGGTACTGTAAGCCCCAAAGTCAACCCTTACCTCACAGTCGGTGGGGGAGGGGTGTAAACAGTAGTGTCAGAGCTATACCGCCGGAACTTCGTTCCTGGTAAGACCACCCAAGGCGGACAGGTCTGACACACACGCCGGCTAACAAGGGCTCTAGTGAAAATCAAGGAGCGTCTGCATCGGTAACCGGCGGCTTCTGGTCGTTCCTGTCTCTGCATCTGTGGGAACACCGCGGCAAGCAAGAACGTTATCCGAGTAGGCCTGGGTGCCCTACTTCTGTAATTTATCCCAGAATCTTCTTCTCATAACAGGAAGAAGCCGGCTCAATCCGCCCAGGGTGAATGCCGCATCAGTACAGTACAGTGTATGTTAAGGATCGTGCGGAGGCGGCGCTGGTGGAACCGGTCGAGCAATCGCAAATGATGTCGGTAAGTGACCCATGACTCTAAGCCATATAGGAGAGTAGCGAAGATGATAGCTCTATAAACTCTGATCTTAGTGCTCTTCTTTAGGTGTCTGTTGTATATTAATAGAACTATTCGTAGAAAAATTAACACGTCGACCCTCTAGCCTCTTGTAATAGCTAAAGTTTCCAATATAACAGATGGAGTATAACATCTGATAAGAATCGAACTACAGTGAAAATTACCAGACTTAAAACACTTCCACTGCTGAAGACAGATGTATGTCGTTATTAAACTTACATTTCTGCTGTTCATGTATATATATATACATTTGAAGACGCTATGCCATATTTGCTTCTAATGTTTATATTTGAAAGTAATTAGCACGAATATCTATTTTCATACCAGCATTATACAATAGCATCTTTGCGTTAGTTTTTATTATTATATTGTGTTTTTGGGATTGTTTAGCTTATTCTGCACTGTAGAATATCCAATCGAAACCAAAATAACGAAACCCAGGAAATATCTGTTTTTATACTCATTAATTTCCAGTAAATAACTATTTCTTATTTTCCTCAAATGAGCCATTGATACTACTAAATGTTGTGACCAAGTAAATGGTTAAAGAAACAACAAAACAAGTTTTGCAAATATATCATATATTAACAGTAAGTACAACACAAGAGTATTACATGGCCTGTGAGTGTGTGGCGGTAGACCCAGCGTTCAATCTATTCGACTGTTGATAGTTACCAGCCTCCCCACGAGATAGGATATGGCACAAGGCCGAGTTAAATTTGGGGCAATCCAAGCCCGTAGGCTGGGACAAAAATTCCCGTAGATCCCTTATAAAACGAGGTGGGGTAGCTGTTTCCCGAGACAAGACTCTGCCTTTCGACATAGCCTCGTCTGGGAATCCTCTCTGCCCGGAGGCAGAGAGTTTGACCAGCACAATGCGAACAGATCTATTCGGCTGTTAATATTTAACACCTCCCTCCCCACACACACGAGAGATGTATGTGGCACAAGGCCAAGTTTACCGTGGGTTCTCCGAGCCCGTCAACTCGGCCAAAAACATTCCCTTAGAACCCGCATAAACGGGTTCAGGGACTGACTAGCTCCCCGGACGAAAACTTTGCCCTTCGCCAAAGCCTCCTCTGCGTTCCTCTCTGCTAGAGGCAGAGAGTTCGACAGTTGAAGAAATCTATTCGACTGTTCTCCGAAGGCCTTCTCTCCGACTAATCTTATAGTAGGCGGAAGAGTCAAACATAGACTCTTTAGAAGGAGGACACCACAGCACTAAGCTTACCTTGGCCTGACATAAGTCTACAAATATAGTTCACACAGAATTCAATTCACTGCAATAGTAATGATCTGCAAAATTATCTTTCTTAAGTCCTACAGCAATATGCCATTCTAAAAGTTTAGACAAAACAATCATTTAAAGAAAACACACGTGGAATTTTTTTTTCTGATTTCGTAATGAATTTGTGGTGTATAATCAACTTTTTAAATATCCCCTTGAGGAAAAACTTTTCTTTTTGTGTCATGTCCTTTCAGGACGTAGGCGATCATGGCTCTCCACCTCCCTCTATCCCTTGCAGCTCTCCACAAGTTCCTTCCCTCTGCTTTCTTCCCTAGACACGTTCCTTCATCTACTTGCTTAAGTCCGCCAGGTATGTCACGCGTTGTTTTCACTTGTCTCCCTTTCCCTCTCTTCGACCCGTGGGTATCAGATTGTCCAGGCCCTCCATCCTCATTATATGTCCCAGAAACTTCAGCTGCCTCTTCCTGATATTTTAACACGGAAACATCGCCTTTACGAAATATATTTTTTCAGGTTTTAACAACTACCGAAGCGTAGAAAAAATTTCCATAGTCTATATGGAAT